CAGGACATTACCCCCTCCGCCACCAAATCCACCTCCAAGGCCTCCTCCGCCACCAAATCCGCCTCCAAGTCCACCTCCGCCACCAAATCCACCTCCAAGGCCTCCTCCGCCACCAAATCCGCCTCCAAGACCACCTCCGCCTACCAAATCCGCCTCCAAGTCCACCTCCGCCACCAAATCCACCTCCACCACCAATTCCTCCCAGTACATTTGCACTTACACTTACTGGTACTCCCTGTAAAAGTTCACAAGTTATACACCTACACTTTAAATTTGACATCAGGTCATAAAACTATCATTGCCAATAAATGATTTTTTTTCATCAGAACATTTTATTAAATAAATATGAGATTTCCCACACTTAGTAGCGAAGTTAATGTTATTATGGAAGTAAAAACCAACTAGCGATTAGCACTGGGGCTTTAAACTTTGTTTCAGAAATGAAAATTTTGGTATTTTAAAAGAATACATAAATACTTGCCGTGATGTAGCCTCCTCCCCCGAGGCCTCCAACACCACCATAACCACCTAGCCCTCCATAACCTCCTCCACCGTAGCCCGTAGCCTCAGCTTTCAGGGTTTCCTCCTCCGAGGTGGTGTCGACAGGAGCAGCATCAAGAAGCACTGCAGCTGAGAGTAACAGTGTAAGGAAGAAGTTCATCTGGACAGGAATATATTAACAAAGTATAGTGGTCAGTAAGTACAGTGTAAGGAAGAAGTTCATCTGGACAGGAATATATTAACAAAGTATAGTGGTCAGTAAGTACAGTGTAAAGAAGACGTTCATCTGGACAGGAATATATTAACAAAGTATAGTGGTCAGTAAGTTACATTAACACCATCATTGGTCAGTAAATTACATTAACTCAAACATTGGTCAGTAAGTTACATTAACCCAAACATTGGTCAGTAAGTTACATTAACACAAACATTGGTCAGTAAGTTACATTAACTCAAACAGTGGTCAGTAAGTTACATTAACTCAAACCTTGGTCAGTAAGTTACATTAACATAAACATTGGTCAGTAAGTTACATTAACACCAACAGTGGTCAGTAAGTTACATTAACACAAACATTGGTCAGTAAGTTACATTAACTCAAGCATTGGTCAGTAAGTTACATTAACACAAACATTGGTCAGTAAGTTACATTAACCCAAACATTGGTCAGTAAGTTACATTAACACAAACATTGGTCAGTAAGTTACATTAACTCAAACAGTGGTCAGTAAGTCACATTAACACAAACAGTGGTCAGTAAGTTACATTTACACAAACATGAACCAATGATTGGTGGTCAGTAAGTTACATTAACACAAACATGGACCAATTAGTGGTGGTCAGTACGTTACAATAACACAAACAGTGGTCAGTAAGTTATATTAACACAAACATTGGTCAGTAAGTTACATTTACACAAACATGAACCAATGATTGGTGGTGGGTAAGTTACATCAACACAAACATGAACCAATGATTGGCCGTGGGTAAGTTACATTAACACAAACATGGACCAATTAGTGGTGGTCAGTAAGTTTTCTTAACACAAACATGGACAAATTAATGGTGGTCAGTAAGTTACATTAACACAAACATGAACCAATGAGTTGTAGTCAGTAAATAACATCAATGCAAACAAGGACTAATTATTGAGGCAACTAATTATTAAGTATACTAAAGTAAGCTTTATCAACTAATTATTAAGTATACTAAAGTAAGCTTTATCAATTAATGATTAAGTATACTAAAGTAAGCTTTATCAACTAATTATTAAGTATACTAAAGTAAGCTTTATCAACTAATTATTAAGTATACTAAAGTAAGCTTTATCAACTAATTATTAAGTATACTAAAGTAAGCTTTATCAACTAGTCATTAAGTATACTAAAGTAAGCTTTATCAACTAATTATTAAGTATACTAAAGTAAGCTTTATCAACTAATTATTAAGTATACTAAATTAAGCTTTACCAACTAATTACTAAGTATACCAAATGCTTACCAACTAATGACTAAGTATACCAAAGGCTTACCAACTAATTACTAAGTACACCAAAGGCTTACCAACTAATGACTAAGTATACCAAAGGCTTACCAACTAATGACTAAGTATACCAAAGGCTTACCAACTAATGACTAAGTATACCAAAGGCTTATCAATTAATGACTAAGTACACCAAAGGCTTACCAACTAATGACTAAGTATAATAATATTTTGCTTACACTTGTTTCTTGTCGCATAAATTTGATGATCTGGTCGTCAACTAGAGAGAAAGCCAATGGTCAGTTGAGTCTTTTGACCACAGACGCGAGTTTATATACTGCATGCAGCCATTCGATTGGTTGTTTGAATAAAAACAAATAAGGGAATTTATTACTGTATCTAAAGTCGTCTGACTTGTTTCAGGTTATATGTTATTATTTAATGACTATAGTTTAGATTAGTTATAGCTCATAAGTTCTTAGAATGTATTACAGAATCTGTAATTTGTACATGTAAAAACATGTTACCTAATAACCTCTGAATCCCGGATTAACAATTTTATCTGTCGCTGCCAAATAAACAGGATATTTCATAATTTTCAAATTAAGTGCTCATTATTCCGCTGAAAACAAAAAGACCGGTGGTCACTGTATTCTATCATTAGTCTAAATCTAACCAGGTTTGGATACACGTGTCTCATTAGTCTGTTATAACTGTCACGAAACTGTACAAAAAGCTCTATTCAATCCTCTTATATACACGTGACTCATTGGTTTGTTATAACTGTCACGAAACTGTACAAAAAGCTCTATTCAATCCTCTTATATACACGTGACTCATTGGTCTGTTATAACTGTCACAAAACTGTACAAAAAGCTCTATTCAATCCTCTTATATATACGTGTTTCATTGGTTTGTTATAACTGTCACGAAACTGTACAAAAAGCTCTATTCAAT